TCCTAACCGGATTTAAGAGGAAAGTGGCAATACGTCTTTCTTACCCCCAGTGAATTCTGCTGGCGCAGGATTTTTACAAGGCTAGCGAACGTGTGTTCTGCGTCGTACGTAGGAGCGAAGCCACTGTTCCCCTCCATCTACCATCGCTGCAACCTCGCGGGGCGCCTTACGAAGCTCTGGAATGGACGCCGCGTTCTACGAGTGTGGTAACTGGACAACGTGCCGCCCAATAGCTTACTGCACTTCTTGGCTCAATCGTGTATGCACATGACGGCACTAGGATGTCAAGGGTTCTTTCTTGTAAGAGGGTCCAAATGAGGCTGGACAAGGAAATATAGACCTTCCCTGTGCTACATATGGCACTGAGCTACATTCCGGGGTGGAATGGGAGTTTGGGTCCTAGATATTGTTTAAATAATCTAATTTTTTCGCAAAAAATAGCGCACCATAAATAAAAACTGAAATCTACTTACATTTCTTATTTACTTATAGTTTAATGGATTTGAAAAAATTTTGATATTTTTAGCTAATTATACCTTAATATCCCTGAAAAAATGGTGGTTCAGAGATCGTCTGTTTCAACGTACCCGAGGTCCAATTTACCCTTCTGGAGTTAGGTTAGTATAGTTCGCGGAGCGAAGCGCCACGCACACCTTCAATTTATATGCGCAACAACTTTACGTTAGTTTATTTTATTTGGTTTATTTAACTGATTTATATTTAAGTTCACTCTTTAGTATAGTTTTCAGTTCATTTTTAGGTTTACTATTTTTATTTTAGTCTGAGATTATTTCTAGTTAAGGGAGTTTAACTTACTTTAGTTTACGTTTTTTAGTTAGTTATTTTTTAATTTAGTGACTTCCCAATATTTGAATAATTGCAGATTTTAATTATGGCGCTTTTTTTGACAAACATTGGATTATTTAGATAATGATTCCTGTTTTTTTATTGCTAAGAACTTTATTTATTTATATTCCCTTTCTATTGCCTAGACTGTATGCTCTTTATTCCACCCGATCCTGTATTGCAGAAGGATGAGGTTTTCACGTGCTGATCTGGGACCCAAACTCCCATTCCACCCATTCTGGGGTATCTATTTCCGTGCACTAGCCTTAACCCTAACCTCCCCCCTCCCTGAAATATAGCGCAAGGTAACCTGTGATATTGGGGTCCATGTTGTGGGGCCCAATCAACAATAGTGGGTGTTTGGCGCGAGCCTACACAGGAGGCCCAACTTATGCCCCAAACAAGTGGATGCAGTGACTTGAGCATGAGTAATTGGCCGTATAAATAGTAGTAGAAATAGCAGACTCGGTCTCCTTGAGTCTTTCTGGACACCTGCTGAAGATGAGTGAGGGTCGGTAGTGCAGTAGTACCAGCGCAAAAGGCAACTGTCACTTAAGACTCAGTTAGGCGGTGTCTGTGGCCTGCATTGGAGAAAGCGGCTTAGGCCTGATGACTGCTCGGTCATCTCGACTTTCTCTTGTCACCGGTTCAATTGGGAGAGGATTTAGAGTGTAGTAGATGGCTGCCCGTCTACTTTCATTATACGTGACTACATTCATCATCCCTGCTCTTGGGCATATGGTGAACATAATCGAAATCGATGGTCGAACTGTCATCATCAAAACAGGAGGCAGGGGATAACTCACTGTCCGGGAAAGCGCTCTCGAAGGTGAATATAGACTTGTACTCCTTGGGGATGAGGTCGGGCTGTGCACTATCCTCCGTGAAGTCCTTGGCCGGTTCAGCTGGAAAAAACTCAAAGGCAGTACCGAATTCCAGCGGTTTGTCACTAAAATCTGGCGGCCTGTAGGAACTGAAGCTGAATTTGCTGGTGTAGGTCTTTTGTGCTGCTGCCGGGGCTAGAGGATCGTCCGGGACTTCATAGCTGAAGGTGTGGCGTCGGGGAAATTCTTCCTCGGCCTCATCGCCCTTTTTGCTGCCCTTTCTCTTCGCAGAG